AAAGTGGCGTACGCAAGTTTCTGGGCTCAAATTGTGCGTACGCCAGTTTTATAAATCCGACCCCAGGTGTTGAGGTGTGATCAGAGCCACAGACTCACCTTCTCCTCTAACGAACAGGATGGTGGTGTCAGCGTTAGGAGAGGCCTTCACCTCCCCGACCAGCGCCTCCTCCTCTTCATCCTTCTCCTCCGTCTGACAGAAGAACAACTTTTACCTCCAAACTCACATCGTTAAAGCTTCTAACCTGACGAGGCCTCACCAGCTCCGTGTTCTCATCGTCCTCCACTTCAACTCCATCATCTTCATCTTCAGCAGTCACATCGTCCACAACGTCTTCATCCACAGCCTCAGCCTCCTCATCCTCAGTCAGGTCCACGGCACTCACCGCCGGCCCTGAACCAAACCAAACTTTAGTTAGAAAACACTTGTTTTACAGCTGTTTACAACATCTGTAGAAACAAAACTAACTGAAGAACAAATAAACTCCATAAGACAAATATCTGGTGACCAATTATCAAGGTGCTGAAAATAAACACAGAATTTTCATCTTTTATTCTAAAAAGCGCCTCAAAAATTAAATTATTTTTAGACAAATGTTTGTTTCTTTAAAACATTAACTCAAGATTAAAATCTGGAAACAAAATGTTTTTCTACACAACGTAAATTTCATTCTTCTCTTTCTAATGAGTCTGATCAGYTGAAATAAACTCTTAAACATGTAATAAAAACATGAACTGTATCAAAATCTGTTCAGTTAATAATAAAACAACTGAACCATTCAGACCAACACAAACCAGTTTAATCTGTTCCTGTCAGACATTTAATTTAATAATCTCCAATAAATCCTCACTCACTGAACAAGACTTAATATTTTAAATACTTGTTTTTCTCCCTGAGCCGTGCTAAACCTAACTGAGCTAGCTAGCCAGGCTAACTTTTCTAATCTAATCCAAGTTTGTAAAAGTCTGCACTGACTGCTGTACGATGCTTTTAACAAAAAAGTTTAATTAGTTTTAACCTTAAATAGCTGCTGACAGTGAGATCATATTAAAACCACTGTAGCTTCATGCTAACAGCTAACAGACAGCAAGGACACGTCAGTCTAACCAGGAAACATAACCGGTTACTTCCAGCACAATAACACACTTTATAAAACATAATGATGATTAAACTCTTATACTTAAGAATTCTGTGTCTATTTTTATTTTATTTTTTACTTTTAAACGTTTTGTTTTAAAACAAATGTTTGTTTTTAGTTGTCACATGTTGTTAAATCTGAGCTCGGCCTTCTCCGCAGCAGCTCGTTAGCTCCGCCGCTAACGCTAGCATGCTAAGCTTTGTTAGCTTATYAAACTTGGCCCGAGGCCTTTTCCGTCACGTACCGTTTAAAAGAATCGTCGCCGGGAATGCTAACAGGACGAGCAGCAGCAGCTTAGGTAGGAATTTCAACATTTTCAAGTTGGAATCAGCGTTTTCTCAGTCAGTGTCCAACAGACTGGCTCTTTACGCCTCTGTGCTACTTCCGGTATAACTTCTTCTTCTACTGATTTGATTCGGCAGATTAGATGCGTCGGTGAAGTGTTTCTGCCCTCAGGCGGAGTGTAAAACAACTCTCCTCTTTCTTTGGGGATTCTCTTCAGTTTTTCTTTTTATGTTCCAGTTTTATCATGGCTGTAATTATCTTGTTAAAAAGAAGAAATGCATAAAAATAATTTTCTGTAGTTAAAACCATTTTAAAAAGCTGATAAAACAGTTTAAATA